AATCACCATCTCATTTCTTAAAATTTCTACAATTTACATACAAAACACATATATCTCCTTCTTATCTCCCACACAACTTTTCTCATCAGTAGCAATCCAAGAAGGGAAAGTCTGGGTTTGAAAAATGGGGCAAACCAATGTTGAAGCTTGTCTCTCTTATTTGGTCTGTGGTATAGCCCTAAATAATTTTCAGCAACGCACATTCTTTGCCTCCTTTTTGATGAAGCACCAGCCACTCACTGCTGCCTCTATTTTTGTCCATGTGATGTGGAAGATGTGCCCCAGCCTGCACGCCTTCATCTTTATGGCGCATACATAAAAGAGAGAATGACGTGAAAGCCGTAAAGAGGTATTAAAATGTCATAATATTGTGATGTGAGAAGTTCCTCTGATCGTTTGGCAGTGGTCCATTGTCTCGCTGTTTGTCTGAGTCAGAGCACCGTGACTGCAGCTTGAGTCATCTCTCTCTGAACCTGAAGATGACACAGAAGCATAAAGACGCCTTGTGTGAAATTATATAAGTCACCTATAAACACAGTCACAGACTTTCAACACATGTAATTAGGAACTGCCTCCCCATCACCTTTGAGTAAAGTCATTTCAATATCTGTACTTCTCACTGGAAATATATTTGGATAGATCTAGAAGTACTCCCCAGGATTGGAAATGGGTTGTTTAATCCGTTAAACTGGTTCTATTAAATTTCCTAACTCTAAAACCAGGTGAAATGGCTCGTATAATTCTATAATGACTACAGAATCGAATAAAAATGTGTTTCAAAAGTCATTTTAGTCAAACAACCCAATGTCTAAGGGTTCAGGGTTGAGGTCTTTTGTAGATTTTCTAAAAGGGCATCACTTGAGCTTCGTTTTGGTCTAATATATTCAAATATATTAAATAATAACAGACCTTTTGTGATCAATGAATCTAGGGAATAATTATCCAAGTAATCAGTTATCAAAATAATCGTAATTTCAGCCCTATTTGCATCACATCTATCATACCTCTTGACATCAATAATCTACACTGCTTTAAGTCTATTGTGCGTTTTGTATTTTTCATGCACGTTTTTTTTTAAATCTACATCTACATTTTTTATAACTTGTTTGCATCATGAGCCAAAGCAAATTCGTAGTTTGTCCCTTCCTTTTATTAACAATGGAGACCAAAAACAATTCTGATTCTGACATTTTCATACAGGATTAAAGCAGTTGTTTTTGCCATTGTCTCACAGTGACCCTGAATTTGAACCCTGGTGTATTCCTGGAGTATTTACGACCGCCCAAATGCAATAAAGTGCACGTGTGGCTAACTTCCGCTCCCACTAAGCGCTCCCGTCACTCTGGGGGGAGTCATTATGATCGCAGGGCGTTACGAGGCCCACTGCTCTTCCTGGAACAGTATTGGTATCTTTCTGATCCAATTGTGCTCCACTCTCTGCTCTGAGCTGCTCTCTATGTGTGCGTGTGTTAGTGTACGTGTGTGTGTGTGTGTGTGTGTGTAGGTGTGCGTGTGTGTGATGGTGTCGTTAAGCTGATTGATTGTTGTCGTCTCTTAAGATTATCAAGTTATAGGGAACGTGATCTGCTGCAGTATGAAACTAGAGAATGTGGATGTACATGTGTGGCCTTATACAGTATGTACAGTAGTCTATGTTGAATGTCAAAAGTCTGTTATGTGTTATAATTTTTAGAGTATATAGAGTTCTTATAATGACACAAAAGAGGAAAGAGCCTTATTACCGGACTCTGACAGATCGGGACAGATCCATCAGACTGACCCCACCCCCCACTGCCCTGAAGTGTCTCGAGAAGTGAGTCCCAAGTGTGAGCCAAGGTGAAGGCCCTCTTGTCTCGGTTGATGGTCATGCATCAAGTTTTATGAAATCTATCTTTCCAAGTGAAGAAGTTCGGTAAAAGTTTTGAATATAATGGATTCTTTGTGCTGTGTTTGCCTCACTGTACTTTTGCACACACGTTTCAATGTGGGTTTTGTTCGCAAATGTCCAATTATTGAACCTTGAAGAATGATCCAAAGATGTGGATGTTGACAAAAATGAAAATGTATAATAAAGGCATTTTAGAGCAAAATAGACAACATTCTGATTTCATGTTTACAAAGGAATCCATTAGCTGTTTTCTCAATCCGATAAAGAGCTCCATTATGTTTTCATCTCCCTTGTACATAATTATAGCTCTATTCTTTCAAATAATTGATTAAAATGCAGAGAATTCTCAGCCCTCACAGCCGTGCATTTGCCGTTGGAATAATCAAATCAAATCCATGTATTTTATGTACAGCCCTGAATCACAACAGCAGTCGTCTCATGGATATTCACAGAATTGACGATTTGCCAAAAGTAGATTAGAAAACCAGACAATGAGAACACATACAAACAACGATTAAGCGGCTCAGAGTCATTGATCCATATTTCTCCCTGTAAGAAGTTTCCATACGCAGCTTCACTGATAAACTGTGGTTTTGTATAATATTGCCACAATCCCGGGCTGGAGCGGGAGGAGGAGGCGTAACAAACCATCTGTATTAATAAAGGTAACTTTGAGGAACTACCATAGAGACAGACGTTACACTGTTCACTTTCATTAAACCAATCAGGGGAAGAATGCTTTATTTATCCAGATCTCCAAAAACACAGGTATTCTTGCCCTCTGATTGGTTCACTTTCAACTCAAATGTGAACAGGCTCGTAGAAAACGTACATTAAATTTTTTTAGAAAGTTGCATGAAATGACTTAATTCTCAATTTCGGTTCATTTTTAATAAATACATTATAGAGCTAAACAATAACACAAATGTAACTTTTTCATTTAACTGGCTCAAATGACTGCAAACTGAAACACCACTGCAGCTGATCTCTTTCTTTGAGGTGAAACATTATATTTGGTTCTGTTTTAAATGTTCTGGTTTGTACAGTTCAGGACATATAATAACATTAATAGACATTGTTTCATAACGTGCTATATAATTAGTACATGTCCCGCTCTCCATGGACCAATGGCACAATGTGTTTGCTATTATTGCATTTCTTGTGTTTTAACTATTTGATTTATGATCGATTGTTGAGGAATCGACCACTTTGTAAAGTCCTCCCGAGATGACTGCTGTTGCGATGTAGGGATATACAACATTTACCAATCAAGTTTCACTGCTGTCTTTACAAACACAGCATAATCCAGTATTGTTTATATTCATACCTGTAGTGTAATACAATTATTGCAAGTTGGCAAAATCAGAAAAGTGCGTTACTTAGTCACTTAAAATGCATTTCACAACAGTTAGTATTAGTAACCCGATGCCGCTCACAACTATAGTTTTCCAGAACGTGCCTAGATGTCTGTGTGTGAGCTGCAGAAGTGCGAGTCCTTAAGCAGAAGCTGCCAGCTCCATCTCAGCGGTGACTTTACTCTGTGTGACTTTTATGGAGCTCTCAAAGCATGACCCAGAGCCGTCAGGAAGATGTACGACTCTTGACTTTCCTTATTTCCTCCAGACTCCTTCTCAGCGCAGCGACACAGGCTGTTAGAGAAGGACAGTGCTGCTCGGATGGTTCTCTGTCATTTCCAACACATTTAGAATGAAATAATGCAGAACATGTGGTGCTTTCATGGACAGAGAAACACACAAACATGGATCTGAGTCGAGGAATCCTGGAAGTGTCAATAGTTGAAAAAGCAAGTGTGTATTTGTGTGTGTGTGTGTTATTTGTTGTGAATGTGTGTGGGTTTGTCTGTGCCTGTCTGTGTCTGTTTTGTTGTAAATGTGTTTGTGTGTGAGATTTGTTGTGTATGTTTACATATGAGATCCGTTGTAAATGTGTGTGTGTATGTGTCTGTGTGTGATTTGTTGTAAATGTCTGTGTTTTGTGTATGTTTCTGTCTGTGTGTGTGTGTGTTGTGTCCCTCTCATTGCAGCTGTAAGTTGCTTGGCTGGTGATGACGTATCAACACATAAAAACATGACATTATGGTCACATGAACATTCACAATATATTGGATTTTGTGTCAATTGTGTAGCCATTAAAGGCAGCTAATACCACAGGCAGAATGAGTGAAAGAGTTTGTGCAAATAGGAGAGAGCAGATGTGTCCAAATGCATATTATCGGCAAGAGCATGGTTATCCATGCCTAAGCCTTTTAGCAAGTAGTTCAGAAGGCTTGTCCAGTTTGTGTGTCCAGTATCCAGGGGCCAGATTTAAATACATTGAAATGGCTGGGAATGTGCATATTCATTTACATTGAACAGATATTAACTTTACTAGCCTGAACTATCTCACCGCAGCTACATTAACATCATGTATTGAATTTTGTGATATTATCAAAAACAAAGTTAGCAAAGCCACATAAAATAACACAGGGGGCTGTACTTGACTGCAGGCCTTTAGTAGTTTGGACGTTTCTGCTGATGTGAAAATACATGTAAATGCTTGTTGGTTCTGTGTTTGCACAAGTTTCTGTCCGGGTGCTATGAAATATCTCATTATATCATTGATTTGTGTGACTTATTATATGGTTGTTATAATTATACATGTTATAATCTATGATCCATTCTATTACACAGAGAATGGACTTGGGTTGAAAAACTTTCCTTTCGCACACATTGTTTTTTTCAATAAAACTCTTCGTTTTCCATGTTAGTTCTATAAAGTTTGCCCCCACCGCTCATAAAGCTCATGTGTTCTCAAGGCTATTGGCGCGAACAGTGGAAACAGCTGCTCCACAGAGGTACAAGTCATATATCTGGTCACTGTTTATTATGTAAAACTATTGCCTCTAGTAGATCGTTAAATAAATGTTTTGAGCACTTATTCTAGGTCAGTGGTGTTCAAGGTGGTCCTAAATGGGGGTTGATGACGACTTTTGGTGTCATTTATTTTATTTCTAAGTCCAGTTTTTGCGTGGTGTTTAAGGTTCGCAAACACACAACCCACACCAAGTTTGTGTTCAGTGTTTTTACTGATTGTATTTTATTTTCCCTTCCAGGTGTTGGCTTTAGAGCGACAGGTGTTTGACTTCCTTGGATACCAGTGGGCTCCCATACTCGCCAACTTTTTCCACATCATAGTTGTTATCCTCGGCCTCTTTGGCACCATCCAGTACCGGCCACGCTACATTGTGGTGGTGAGTATTGTTCTTTCTCACTGAGGACTGCAAACGACAGCTCATATTCAAGGAAAATCTCAACCCTAAACTGATAAACAATTTACGATTCAGTTTAGGTTTTAGTGTACGGTTTAGTTTGCGATTTAGTTTACGAATGTGGATTCACTGAACAAAGAATGCAGGCAGATGGTAAACCGAGTGTGAGTATTTACTTGTGAATCTGACAAAACCATATAACAAAACTACTGTAGGTGCTACGAGGATAGGACCAGTGCATTATGCTGTGAACACAAGATTATTGCATTTGAATAAAATATGAAACCCCCAGTGAAATAGAACCACAAATTATAATGAATACAACAATAAGTGCAAAGAAATTGTTACCAAAATGAGAAAAAACATTCATCACTTGACTTTTGTGGTGAGCCGAACCCAATGCTAAATCGTTCGACCCCTCGTAACTAAACATCGAGGTGAGATGTTTTTCTGATGAACTATTATGTGTCTTTTCTCCCGCTCTCATCGCTCTCGCCACAGGACCTCTTTAAATCACCTGAATCCTGGGCTCATTAGAGCTCATTAAAAGGAGAAGAGCTCTTTAAAGCTTAGATTAGAATTGTGGTAAGAAAAAGGTCATTTTCTCATTTTACAAGGAAATGACCCTTGTTCTGCCTTAGGGGATTCACTTCTGGCAAATATATTGAAGAGTTCATACCCTGGATGTAAAAAAAAAATATATTGTACAGTTAATACTCTAAATGTATAAGAAAAAATATTGAAAAAAATGAAAGAACAAACTGATACATTAACATACAGATGAAACTCGGAAAATTCTAATGACGTTCAAAATTGTATCTATGCCAATTTCTCCATTGTGAGATCAATAAAGTTAATCTTATCTTAAAAGTTTATTTATTTCTGTAAATCAGCGTAAAATACAAAACCGCATTATGATATACAGACTAACTACAAATGCTAACTGTCAGCAAGTAAACAGTACGTTGCTATGGTAACTAGCACTCTCATAATTTCACATATACATAGACATAGAAAAATATTTATACACAAAAAAGTCACAAAGTTTGGAAGTCCATAACTGTACATATCAAAACTAAAGGTCAGTACCAACGACGTCAGTACAGCGTCAGATAAGGGATGAGTAAGGGCAGAACCGGGTCAGGCCGGAGGGAGCGGTGAATAACACTTTTGTTTCTTTATGGGAGGGAGAGTCCTGATCCGACATGTCGCTCTGTTCTGGAGCCGTTTATCTTTTCCTCCACACAGCTGACATTTAACACTTAGCATGATGACTCAGAGGATTTCACAACCAAAACCCAAATGACTGATCCTCTGTTCTCCCTGTTTCTGTCAACGCTGTACAAACGACTCATCACAAGGGGTCATAAACTTTTCAACTTGTGGCGACTCGAGGGAATGGAGTCGACTCAAATCAGCGTTTCATTCTATAAAGAAACGTGTTCACTGTTTGTCACCGGCATTCATGTTGAGTAGACGGCATGTCATCTCAGGAAAATGTGTGGCAAGTTTTTCTTTTCAAATGTCGCTGAGTGAGAGAGAATTGTTTTAATGCAAGCACTGTTGACCCGCTCATGCGCTGCAAAATATAATGCAAAATGAGGTAATAGTTGTTAAAATCAAGTGGTTTGTATCTTAATTTGAGCACATTGTGACAAGATTTACCAATGGTACGTCTTAATTCGAAAACTGTTTTATTTTCTCATTCCGAGGCAGACATTTCTTGAATCTTTTTAAAACAAGATCATTTTGCTTGTCCAATTTGCGAATATTGTTTTAAGGCAGGCAGAATGCGCACAAAACTAGATTCCAAATTTGAGCAATTTTTTAGTTATTCTTCATCACTTTTTGCAATGCGCTCAACTCCTGTTTTAGGACAAAATAAATTCAAATTCTCAATAGGTTTTGTTCTCGAATTAATTCTAACACAGTTGGGGGGAAAGTGTCAACACAACTCTATAGAAAAGAAGCAATTTTTGAGATACATTTTGAAAAATAAATTGTCAAAATGTTTTCCTAGATTACTATTTAGTATTGATTATAATCTTTTGTTTCAAAAAGTTCTTTCTACTGGCTAATGTCGTGCACTGGTTTTTAGTTTGTCACCATTATCATTTCGTTATTGTCACTTTTCTACACATTTATGAGAAAATACTTAAAAGAAAATGTAAACCAATACGAGATGTCGGATTTTTGTCATTCACCGTAGTTAACAGTAAAAGTGTTATTGTTGCCCTCCACCACAATTTAAAACTATAGGCTTTTTGGAATGTTGTGATGTCACATGAATACAACGTCTTGACTGGCATCATGGCTTCCCCATTGTTTTATTCTCCTCCAGCTAATATTTTTGCACTGCCAATACTTATGCTAAGTGGTGGGACAATCTGAAATGTATCTTCTTACATTATCCACAAATATGCATTATTTAAATACATTAAATGAAATACAAGTTACTGATAAGCCGGTATCTCTATCTTTCTGCAGTACACAGTATGGGCTGCTCTCTGGGTCGCCTGGAATGTCTTCATCATTTGCTATTACCTGGACGTAGGAGGACTGGCAAAGGTGAGACTGTCCAACCCACTTTCACATCTCTTTCCTTATGTTGCCCCTCTAACCTGACACCAGAGAGACGTGTGTCGGATAGCACAGTCTAAATCACCACTCAGACAAACAGCAGTACATGGAGGAGACGTGTGAATAGAAGAGCAGAAAGGTAGCTCCGGAAGTGACACCGAAATCTAATTTTAGTTGTGCTACTAATCGGAAGGGCTCTCACTGAAAGCGTGCTCGGGTACATCTATCTGATTGGTCCCAGCATCACAACAGGAGAATTAGCAGAGATAGAGATTGTCATCACATTTCCTGCTTAAGAGAGCCTCTCGCACATTTTGGGCTAAAACAGACTAGTGTCTCTCTGCATCATGTTTGTTTTGTTAGTGCGGTTCTGTTTTCCACCCAATCCAGAAGGCTGCTCTGTGATTGGATCATAAGAAAACATTAGCTGCGTTTCCATTGAATAATGCGCAAAAACTTTTTCGATACATTTCAAAATTCGAAAAACCTGTAATTCGCAAAAGCGGCCGTTTCCATTAAGACATATTCGAATAAGTATACACTATGGTCGCGCGTTTATTCACTAGTTTCAAGTACGTCAACATGGCAACAGAAGTAACCAACACTTTGATTTACGTGAGATATATTAATGTCTTGACTTCTGCTGCGGCTCTCATCCTCTCTGACCCCGGGAGAAACTGTGGCTGTTTTGACAGCTCCGCGAACGCGCGTGGTCATGTACCGAGCGCGGACGCGCGCACAGAACCACACGGGTCTTGCCTGTCTCCCCCGTCTCTCCCCCATGCCTCTCCCCCGTCTCTCCCCCGTCTCTCCCCCATGCCTCTCCCCCGTCTCTCCCCCGTCTCTCCCCCGTCTCTCCCCCGTCTCTCCCCCGTCTCTCCCCCGTCTCTCCCCCGTCTCTTCCCCGTCTCTCCCCCGTCTCTTCCCCGTCTCTCCCCCATGCCTCTCCCCCGTCTCTCCCCCGTCTCTCCCCCGTCTCTCCCCCGTCTCTTCCCCGTCTCTCCCCCATGCCTCTCCCCCGTCTCTCCCCCATGCCTCTCCCCCGTCTCTCCCCCGTCTCTTCCCCGTCTCTTCCCCGTCTCTCCCCGTCTCTTCCCCGTCTCTTCCCCGTCTCTTCCCCGTCTCTCCCCCGTCTCTCCCCCGTCTCTTCCCCGTCTCTTCCCCGTCTCTTCCCCGTCTCCCCCCCGTCTCTCCCCCATGCCTCTCCCCCGTCTCTCCCCCGTCTCTCCCCCGCCTCTCCCCCGTCTCTCCCCCGCCTCTCCCCCGTCTCTCCCTTGTCTCTTCCCCGTCTCTCCCCCATGCCTCTCCCCCGTCTCTCCCCCGTCTCTCCCCCATGCCTCTCCCCCGTCTCTCCCCCGTCTCTCCCCCGGCTCTTCCCCGTCTCTTCCCCGTCTCTCCCCCGTCTCTCCCCCGTCTCTCCCCCATGCCTCTCCCACGTATCTCCCAAGTCTCCACACGAAGCGCAGCCAAAACTCACTGAATAAAGCTCAGCTCGGCTTCCTCCGCTATATGCATTGTGGTTATTTATTATTTTAATCCCGTGTGTGCTTTTAATATTTTAAGTTTTTTTTTTTTTTTCATTATTTGTGATTTTATTCTGTTTTTAATGTATTTATTGATGTCTCTGATTTGTGTGATATTATGTGGGTTGTGAGGCGCTTTGAGTGGCCTTGTGTTGGAAAGGCGCCATACAAATAAAGTTGATTGATTGATTGATATCGAAATAAGTGTTTCCATTGCCGTTTTGCGAAAAACTTAATTTCGATACGTCCAAAAAACCACCAATTTTAAGCGCATTAACTTTTTATCGAAAAACTGTGGTTTATTCGAAATTTGCGCGTTTCCATTAGACATTTTATGATGCGCAAATTCAAATTTCGAAATTTGATGCTCAATGGAAACGCAGCTATTGTCTTGTGATGGGGCGACAGTAGCTCAGTTGGTAGAGCGTAGAGCGTTCAATCCCACCACAACCCATGTCATCTGCTCCCACTGACGTCTGCTTTCGTCGTGTCCCTGGGCAAGACACTTAACCCCACTTTGCCTGAAGTCCCTGCTGAAAGATCAAGGCTGTATCTGTGTTGAAGGAGCAGCCATCTTCCTGTGGACCCACCACCTGTAGGAGCATCATGGAGGGACTGGTGCTTTGTGAATTGGGTGGCAGCTCTGATTGCCACCCCCCTGACCCAGAAATGGATTAAAAGGGATGAAAATGAATGAATGAATGAATGTCTTGTGATTGAATAGAGAACAATAGAATTTTGTTTGGAGTGTTTGAGGTCACAAAATGCAGGCAGTTTAATGCCCTCTGCCTATATTGTGAATTATTTAGTATGTGCTAAGTACAGGCAAATTGGTTACAGAATTACCTTTTTTAGAATACAACTCGTACTCACTGACTGATCGTTTTGTGGTGTACTTTTTATGCTGCTATGTTAAACTGCTTTGTCAAAATGTTTCACATCTGATACTTCTTTCATTACCAAAATGTTATTATAATTTGGAAATGTTATCCGTCTGCCCTTTGCATTCAGCTAAAACGCTTCTGGTAATAGTTATTGTGAAAATGTTTGCTGGATGTGAATAATATAAAAGGGTTGTAAATTTGGCGATCTCATCATAAGACTCAATAAAAGCTGGGGAACCTAATTTCTCAATTAATAATACATGACGTTTGTGGAACATAGGGAGACCTGCACAAGCAAAATGATGTTTTTTGGTTGAGTTTTGCTTTGGTGAAAATAGTGACATAGAAATAAGATAAGATAAGATAAGAGTTCCTTTGTTCGTCCCACAGTGGGGAAATTTCAATGTTGCAGCGCACATACAGCACAGTAGTAAGAGCACACAGGGAGCGCACTAAATATACAAAATACCAAATAAGTAATAGCTATGTTTCTTAACTAGCTTAACTAGTTGTAGATACTGTAAATGCTTCAATACCAGTCAAATATATATTATTTATACTGTATATGTACAGTAGTAGTGCAGAGCTATATACTGTACATAGGGCAAAATAATAAGTAGATAAAGTAAAGTAACATTGTTCATTGGACATTCTGAGGTTGCAGTATTGCATATTACACATGATTTAAGTATTTACTTATTTACAGATAAATTAAATTTACAGGCTCAGCAGTTCTCATTGTACAGTCTGACAGCCGAAGGAAGGAAAGACCTACGGAACCTCTCCTTCACACAGCGAGGGTGAATAAGTCTGTCACTGAAGCTGCTCTCCAGAGCAGAGAGAGTGTCCTGCAGGGGGTGACAGTCATGGTCCAGCATAGGCACTTTATGTCTTTTTTAATCAGATGTACAGTATTTAACTTTAGAAAAGTCATACCAAAAGAAACTTTGAGTGTGAATATGGGTCTGCTACTCACCCTTCTGCCCCATTGCCTTCCTGACCACTGAGAATAATGCTTTGTCGTCCGCTGCATTCATCTCACAGTTGCTCATGCGTCCAAATTCATTTCAGAAACACCTTCTGAGCTCTGCTGACTTTGTCATTGTGATCGACTCCATCAAGTGTATGTGCAACTTCTATTAGTGTATGTGTGTGTGTGTGTATCTGTGTGTGTATCTGTGTGTGTGTGCATGTTTGGGGGTGAATAATGAGGCTTGTAGAGGCCAGCTGCTCGGGGCTGTGGTTTGGGCATTACCCGGACAGATGGAGGCGGCCTGGGCTCCCTGGCTGCATATGGAGGCCAGGAGGAGACAACCCACCCTCACTCTCCCACCACACACACACACACACGCGCGCACACACGCACACACACACACACGCACACGTCCACACACACCCACACACACACACATTTATGACCCAACATTGCTCTCCCACCAGGCAGTTTTTATCTTCCGCCAAACTCCCTTTCTTCCCGTCTGGTTTAATTTCACCAATTTTGACAGGATTTTGAGGCTGAGCTTATGAACCGAGGTTGCTGAAGTAAAAGGCCACACGCTCAGTCACCTTCTATTGATCTTTACTCCTCCCCCACTGTGCAATAAGGACAGACAGAAGGCAACAGCAAACACAGCTTTGATTTTTAACTGTGTCCTCATGCTCGGGGAGGTTTTCTGGAAGACCACACAGCATTAAGACTACACTCAAATCAGATCAAAGAATCATTTTTCTTACCAATTATTACTTCCTTTGTCTTGCAATAGCAGGTGGTTCTACATCATTACTGAAATTGGTACTAACAAAATATTAATATTCTATGGTCTTACTGGGATTCTGCTTTCTAACTTTCAGCAATGTTTGTATTCTGAGTAATGAGTAAAGCCAAAGGGCTGTTTTGGTTAATTGTGTGTGATTGTGTGTAATTGTAAGGCTATGAATCTTGAATACAAATGCTTTGACCGGTATGTGGTACCCAAAATCTAACAAAAGCTAACGTAGCATGTCAGCGCTTGCTAAAAAGTGAGAATCCATGACACCTGCTGTAACTACTGGTTATTTGGAAAAAATATATATAGTCATAATATTCTTCTAATTAATTGATTAGTTGTTTAGAGTTATTTGTCACTAGAATATACTCAAGACAAGGGGTGGGCTGAGGGCCGAAAATAACCAAATTATGAGCATATTTAGTAGTAACAAAATAACATACATATTATACATATACAGTGGGGAAAAAAGTATTTAGTCAGCCACCAATTGTGCAAGTTCTCCCACTTAAAATAATGACAGAGGTCTGTAATTTTCATCATACGTACACTTCAACTGTGAGAGATAGAATGTGAAAAAAAAAAAATCCAGGAATTCACATTGTAGGATTTTATTTGTAAATTATGGTGGAAAATAAGTATTTGGTCAATAACAGAAATTCAACTCAATGGAAGGAGGTTTTGGCTCAAAATCTCACGATACATGGCCCCATTCATTCTTTCCTTAACACGGATCAGTTGTCCTGTGTTAAGTCGTCCCTAACCCTGAAAAAACAGCCCCAAAGCATGATGTTTCCACCCCTATGCTTCACAGTAGGTATGTTGTTCTTGGGATGCAACTCTTCCTCCAAACACGACGAGTTGAGTTTATACCAAACAGTTCTACTTTGGTTTCATCTGACCACATGACATTCTCCCAATACTCTGCTGTATCATCCATGTGCTCTCTGGCAAACTTCAGACGGGCCTGGACATGCACTGGCTTCAGCAGGGGGACACGTCTGGCACTGCAAGATTTGATTCCCTGTCGTTGTAGCGTGTTACTGATGGTAACCTTTGTTACTTTGGTCCCAGCTCTCTGCAGGTCATTCACCAGGTCCCCCGTGTGGTTCTGGGATATTTGATCACCGTTCTCATGATCATTTTGACCCCACGGGATGAGATCTTGCGTGGAGCCCCAGATCGAGGGAGATTATCAGTGGTTGAAATATCGTTTTGGGCTACATTTGGGC